ATGGCTTCTCCAATGTATTGTGCCTGTTCTCTTGACATCTTAATGCAGTTTCTAGGTCACTGAGCTAAGAAAAGACTACAGGTGCCACTAAAGTGTCCTTAAAGGAGAAGCAGCCATGGGCTGGGCCAGGTTGATGGTACTTAGAAAAATCAATTATTGTCATGTACTGTCTTCATGCTGTGCCAGATCAGTTAAAGATGAATCAATTATGTCAGTTTTCACTCCATCTGCAGGAGTTTTCATGCTCCTGCCCTCAGGCCACCTGTGGTGAGTGGAGGATGTTGCTTATTGATCGATCAGTTACTGCAGTTCTGCGCTGGGAAGCGGGGGGGGTTCTCCAGCAGGTCTTAGCTGGCACCCGTTGGCTGTTGGGCAGGGGGTAGTTCATAATGTTTTGGGTTCTTTTGAAGACTGAAAGGTGAAAGCAGAAGCACTAGGAAGTGAAGATGTCTCAGTGTGCAGGTGGAGGTCAGTCTTGACTTTGCCAGCCTGGAGGAACTGCCTCACTCCCACGGTGGGGGCATTTCTCTGGAGGGAGCTGCCATGGAGGGAAGGTGCATGGTCCCTCATATCCAACCCCAGGAGCTCTTCTCCCCGGTGCCACTACTGCATCTGGCTGTGCCCTACAGGTGAGCAGGCAGGGGAGCTGCAGTGCTCTCCTGCTTGTGTTTCTGTATCCATACCCTGGGAGGGAAGTTCAGCCCCTCCTAACAGGGGCTAGTGCTCCCCTGAGTGGATACAGCATTCATGAAAAAAACCTGGAAGCTAACTTCAGCAAGCTAATCCATGAGGACTGTTGCCTAAATGGCTGTGGGGAAAAAAAGACTCCAAGCCAAATTAGGTAGGAGATAAGATAAGGATACAAAAGTTTTAATGAGCCCCCAGGCTTTCTGGAATACCCCCAGCGCGCGCTCTCGAAATACAGATGTCCACAGTTTTTATAATTATTTTTGTCCAATCCCCGTCCTGTTACTACCCAGGTTCTGCCCCCGCCACGCCTCTTGAGAATTGGGTCTGGGGGCGTTTTAGGACCCCCTCTTCTTCATCTTCATCTTCCTCAGAGCACGTAATGTCCTTGGAGGCCTTCCAGAATTCTAGGCCTGAAGGTTGTTGGGTCTATGGTTATATCTTGTTCCGTAGGGTTAGGGTGTTCTTCTACAATTCTACCTTGAAAAAGAGACTAAACAGGCTATGGAATTTAGGGAATTGATAGGGGAATGGGTAACAGGGGTTTGAGCTGGTGTGTTAAGGGTAAAGGGATAATATGCTGCTACTCTAAAATCTACATTTACTACATAACTACTTCTAAGGTCTACAAAAATAAAAAAATTAAAACATCAAAACTCCAAGGTATCAGGACTAAGAGATGTTTGAAGGACTCTGTTCCTTAATATGCTGTAAGTTCCTCAAAGGGATGGTGCAGGATCAGGATTGGGAAGGGCTCAGGGAGCCCCAAGCCCTCACTCCCTTGTGCCCTGTGTGGAACAGTAGTCCATGGGCTGGGTGGAACGATGAGACACTGAGCTCTGGCCAGACAAAACACGGAGAAAATACTCTGTGAGATACTTCTTCCTGCTCTCTAATCCTTCTGTTCTTGGTTCACCTCTGCAGCCTCCCTGTGCCAAAGGAGTGCTTCTGCCAACAGGAGAGGTTGGAGTCATTCCCTGGGGAAAGGGAGGGAAGCCTGGTGTCACGCACCTGCAAAAAATTAATGCTTATCCTTTCTGTCAAGAGATTAAGTTAAACAGTTGGCACCTGCCAGATTCAGCAGAGTTAGCAGCTGATTATGGATATTTCACCTGCTTGTCTTCAGAGGCTGTGGGGCAGGGAGCAGGGGCTGGGCTCCCTGCTCTGAGGCAGTGGGGCCTTGCACTGTCCTCTAGGAGACAAAGCCACCTTGCAAGAGTGACAGGCAGAAACAGAAATGTTTCTTGCTGAGGTGCAGAAGCAGCTTTTTTTTCCCCTCCCAGACCCTCAGGAACTGAGCCTGAGCCTCGGGCACCACTGCTGCCTGCACCCCTGCCCCAAGGCAGGTGGCAGCAGCCCACCATGGCTGCCTGGGCACCGGTGTGCTGGGGGGTGGTGTGGCTGGTGACAGGCAGTTTTGGCTGGCTGACAGCTGAGGAGAGGTTGGAGGGAGGTGGGCTGCAGGACAGAAGGCAGCTGTCTGTGCCACGGGGAGCCTTGGCAGCTGCCCGCACTCGCCAGCCGTGCCAGAGGGCAGATGGAGTGGGTGAGCACCAAGGAGCTCGTGGCCACTGCCCCTCTGCAGCTCTGAGCATGGCTGGGCACAGGTCGCCCTGCGTGGTCGCTCTCCAGGGGGAGAGGGAATGCCGAGCTCAGGGTGTGAAGGTCCTTTCTGACACACACGAAGCAAATGCAGAGGCCAGAATGAATTCTGCAAGCAGCAGGATTTGTGAAATGCCCACTGGGCCTGTCACAAGCTTCACTGAAATATGGCCTTGCTGTGGTCACCCCTGGGTAGCTCCAGTGCAGGGCTGGGTTTACACCATGCTTTAAGCATCTTGGAGATGCTTCTCTGAGCCAAGATGTGTCTCTTGCCTCTCTCGGTGTACCCCACAGGTTCTAGCAGGGTGTCAGTAGCTTTGTGTCCTTGCTGCTGGTGGCTGTCCCCTCTGCCCCGGGGGGCTGGCCTGCACTGCCTCAGGGCAGCTTCCTGCAGGCAATGCTGCGCTCCTGCTTTCCACCCAGAGCCCCTCAGCTCCCTGCGCTCCAAAAGGCTGCGCAGTGTGACCATGGAAGAATATGGGTGCAGGCAAACGATCTGTCCCCATCAGTGCTATGGAAAATGGCTTGCCCAAATGACTCACCTGTGCTGCAGGTGCTGGGCTGTGCAGCTGGTCTGTGGGGTGAGAGTTTACAGTGCTCCGGGGCCATGGCTGGATATGGGATGAGCAGTGATGGGCCATGCCAGTAAAACACGGAGGCAAAGTTGTGTTCAGGCCTGCACAGGCTACGTGATTGTGTTGGAGTGTCACCGTAAAATCCACATACATCAATGCCCTGTGTGGGGAAGGGGAGGTTGCAGCTTCTCTTCAGCTGAATCCTTTGCTTTTTGTGTGAGTGGTCTGGATTTGAAAGGTCTGCAGCTACAACCTGTGCTCTTACCTGTTGCCTTTTCAGTCACTATTCAACCATGGGTATTTAAACCCTGAGACGAAAAAGAAACTCTTCTTTTGTTTGCCCGTCCCTCTGCTTTGTTGCATCCCCTGTCAGATCGCTGAGGCAGGAAGTGCAGTGGTTTCACCGCTTCTCCTGTGGATGTAGCTTGTGGCAGCCGTGCGGTGCGGCGGGATGGAGCCTCCACCTCCTGGTGGCTGAGCCGCATGGCAGCTGGGCGCCGGCATCTGCCGGCGGGAGTTGTCCCAGGAAGGAGCCGGAAAGTTGGCCCAGGAAACTGAGGAAAGCCCTGGGGTATGAGGGGTTCCTGCCAGGCTCACCCCCTCTGGCCATAGTGGGACACAGTGTTCATACACAGTCATCTCAGGGCTGCTTCTGGCTGCCGAGGCTTCCCTGAGGCAGGCTCTGTTTGGGTTCTCTCTCTGAGACCTAGAAATTTTTGTCCTCATCGTGAAAAAGGTTCTCACGAGGTTATTTTAAAGCACTGCTGCCCGATGAAGTCTCAGCACCATCCAGCACCTGTGTTTCCGAGGTTACTGGAAGTGGGGTGCTACCGTGCAGGGAGTTTCAGGAGAGGGGAAGCTTAGGGATTTTCTCTGCTATTGGGCTCAGCATGTTCACACTCTCCCAAAGGTACCTCAGAACTGAATAGGTTCAAAGTATTTTTCATAAGACATCAGGGCAGTTCTCAGCATTGCAGCTGCAGCTCAAGGCTCAGGGATTTTTTCATGTCAAGATTTGCCCCTTTCATCACTTTTCTCCCCTCTGAGCTCCTTGTGAGTGTCAAGTACCTGGAACCAAGGGAGACTTGGATGCAGCCACTCATTTTTGTTTTTGTAAATGGTTTTAAAAGATTGACAAGGGGTTTGCAAATGGATCTGAGTAAAGATGGAAAAAGACCACAAAGGAGAAAACACTTTAGCAACAAGACAGGGGAGGCATGGAACTCTGCCAGCCTCTCTGCAGGGTCTGCCAGGTTGTCATTCACCCCTCAGTGCACTGACAGCCCCTTGCCCACAGCAGCTCGAGAGGGACGCTGTCCCATGGCTGATGCTCTGGGGGGATGTGGCCCTGCTCTGTGGGCTCTGCACCTGCACTGGCTCTGTGCTTGAGGGACCAGGGCGGTTTAATTAAAGGTGGCAAAGCCACCTCCCGAGTCAGCCCTACACAGCACCGGCTGCACATGCAGTGCCTGAGAGCTGCTGGCACGGTGTGTGTTGGCCCATGTCACCGGCTGCCTGCGGCTCCTCGAGTGCTCGCAGAGAGCAACCACTTCCACTGTCAACTGCTCTCAATTGCCCTTATTTTCAGAAGTGTGCAAGCCTTCCCCCAGTACCATTCTCCTTTCCAAAGATCCCAGCTGGGATGTTGCTGTGTCCAGGGCCCCACTGTGCATCCCCTCAGGAAGCCGGAGATGCAGTTTGTGGTGGGACACCAGTGTCCGCAGGGTAGTGGCAACAAACCCTTCCTGCAGAAGGGGCATGGTGGTGGCACTAATTGCAGAAGCTCCAGGGGTCAAGGTTACAGCTGGTGGAGAGCCTGGGCTGTCCTTGTGGCCACCAGACCTGGCTGGAAGTGGGGTGCTGATGCTCACATAAAGGTTTTTTCCAGAAGCCTGGGTTCAGACACAGGCTGAGGAACTGGCTGCCTTGGAGGTCGTGTCCCTCCAGCAGGAGTAACACCCAAGGAAGGGTGAGGGGAAGGAATGGCAATGAGAGGGGAAGTGGCTTTCCCAGGGCCACACACTTGGGCAGCTGTGCTGCTTTTCAGAGCACACCAAGCTCCTTCAGGCAAGGGGGGAGTTCACCCCCGTGCCTCCTGAGCAGCCTGTGTGCCTGACTCCGATGTGTCTCCCCCAGGTATCCCTGAGCCACGAGTGCACCCGTGCCATCATGAAGCTGATGTACTGCCCGCACTGCCGGGGCATGTCCAGCGTGAGGCCCTGCAACAACTACTGCCTGAACGTCGTCAAGGGCTGCCTGGCCAACCAGGCAGACCTGAGCACCGAGTGGAAGTACCTGATGGGTAAGATGGCCTTGCTCTGCTGCAGCACAGCACCCTTTGAACTCACTGAGGCAGCGTTTGGCAAGGAAAGACAGGAGGGTTGGAGGCTCAGTGGAGGTTGTTTGCAGTGGTGAAGCTCTCGCTCCTCCTTGTGCCCACAGAGCACCACGCAGCAAGCTCCTCTTTCTCTCTCAGGCTCTATGTGTGGAGTGATATGAGACCCGAGGGAGCTTTGATGTTTGTCTGTGCTCACGCAAGGCAGGCACCAGAGGAGATGAGCTTTGGACTTGGCCTTTTCCCCTACCTTGGCACCCACTGCCTGGCCAGCGAGGCTGCCAGCTCAGTGCCCAGCTGCAGCCTGGCAGGCTGGCTCGTGGTTGGCACGTGCTGGTGTTAGCAACAAAAATCCCCATGGAGTTCCAAGAGTGTCCCCTGCCTCTCAAGGGACATTGCAAAATAGATCTGGAACTGCAGCAACCAAGGCTGGGGCACTGCCCAGTGAGGTGCAGCTGCCACCTTGTTCTGGGCCTAACGAACTGTGGCTAATTGGAAGTGCTCCACATGAGAGCAACTGGGAGGCTGCTGCAAAGAAGGGAGAGGAATATTCCCTCCCCCAAGGGTTTAACCAGGACTTCAGTGTGCTTTGGCCTTTCTGACCAGAGCCAGCCAACTGTTCCCTGTCGCTGCTCTCTAGGCAGGATGACTGCACATCTCCTGAAAGGTCACTATACAGCTCTCCCTGATTGACAAGGAAGCAATTCCATGTGCATTTTGCACTTACTCTGGCTTCCTCTTCCCAAGAGACATCACTGTCAAGGGGTGATGGCGAGGAGGAAATAGGAGGTTTTCTGAAATTGCTGTTGTACATTTCAGTGTTGCAGATCCCAATTTGATGAAGGACATGAGCAAAATGTGGAGTCAAAGGCAGCAGTTCACCAGTGTTTTCCATCCTTCACCCCTCTCCGGGCCCTTCTGTGTGGCCAGGGAGGATTTTGTCACACTAAACACAGTTACTCTTTCAGTTTGACAAATTAGGGCAGGTCAAATTAAGGGAGATTTTTATATAAATGGTTCAAATGTAACTTATCAGTAATTTTTGGGTGCAGCCTTTGATTGAAATGTCTGTAATCCAACGTTAGTACCTCTGCAGGCTACAATTGTCTGAAATACAGTCTCAAAGATGACACCATAATCTCTGAGTGGCAGCAGAGTTAAACTGCAAGCTTTTCAATGTTGCAGGAGATGTTATTTCCCAGAACACAAAAATAGTCACCCCTTGCATAGCAAGCATATGGGCTGTCCTTGCTTCAGCCCCAGCTGGAGTGTTGAGAATCATCTCTGGAGGTAGACAGAGCTTGGTAATTCTTTGTAAGCCAAGCACAGTCTCAAAGCAGTCATCCAGGCAGGAACTTCCAGGCTGGCAGGAGTGGTTGGACATCAGAGGACATCCTCCAAGAGGAGCTGAGAGCAAGAGGCACCCTCAGTCACTCCCTGTCCTGTTTACCAGTTAGTTGTGGGCATTATGATCTGCTTCTCTGCCCTTATAGACTCGTATTTTTCTGGTTGGTCACTGTTGTCCTTCCAGAGGTGAGAGTGAGAAGAATTAAATCCTTTTCTCACTCCTTCACTGCTAGGGAAGGTTTTGCCCACACTGGCACTTTATTGGCCCCATTTCTCCCACCTTTTGCTGGCTGCAGTGCTTTGCTGAAGACATGCACTGAGGTGGGAGAGGAAGGGACAAGTATTGCTGTGTGTTTCTTAGTACTTCTGCACCAGTTTTCTGGTTTTCCTTTCTGTGTCACCCCAGGAAATGCTGATCACTTTGGGTGAATACAGGTTGCATTTATGATTTGCAGGAGGTGACCTCTGTTCCTCTGCCACAGACTGTGGCTTTACTTAAGTAAGGAAAAGGAGAACCTGTGCAGTAGTGAAAATGGAGAGATGTCTCCCAACAAGCCTGCTGAGGGGCCAGCAGCTTTTCCCACCCAGCATGAGTGTGATCTTCACCTTGGTTTGTGCAGAGTCTGAGGATGAGAGACATCTCTGCCTTGTTTCCCCAGATTCCCTGATGGTGGTGGCTGATCGGATCGACGGGCCCTACAATGTGGACACTGTAATAGGGACCATTCACATGAGGATTGCTGAAGCTATTTCCAACTTGCAAGAAAACAAAGATTCCATCACAGCCAAGGTAGGAGTGTGTGCCTGGGCCTGGCTGAGGACACACCACGTGTAACTGCCAGGACCAAATGCTCTTTGTGCTGACTATTCAACTGAGCTAAGAAAGTGAAAGAGAGCAAATGTCCTCTCTTCTAATGATAGGAAACCACTCATCTTAGGCAAAAACCTTCTCTGGTGTTTCCAAATATTGCTCCCTGACACATCCAGCCAGCCTCCTTTGGGTACAGGCACAGGCAGTGGGACTGCACATGCAATGACTGGGGGAGGCAGGGTGGCATTTGCTGTCAGGGGCCTCTGTGTCTGAAGAGTCCTGAGATCTTTTGGCTGAGCTGAGGCATTTACAGCAAGTGCACAGTCCCCAGTGACAGAAGGCAGCTGCTTTAACCTGCCTCAGGGGGATGTTCTGCAGAGGAAACACTGGGCTGTCGGGTAGTATCATAGGACAGAGTTGCAATCTGGCAATCCAGAGTACAAAACAGACTCTCCTGAGGCTCACCTGTCTTCCAAGAAGTATATATCATGAAGCTGTCTTCTATTTTTAGTATGTTTATCCACTTAACCACAATCACCTCTGTAGCTACAGGTAAGAGGAGCTTTGGGAACTAAAGCAGCCCTCTGGGGCTTCTGCCTTTTGCCCAGACACTCCCCAGGTCCTGCAGCTATCCCACAGTTAGGGAAGAGATGCAGATGAAAGGAGGAGCAGGACAGGTTAAAACCAGGTTGAAAACATTTCACATGCAGTTTTCAGGGCTGGTTTTGCACAGATCAAAGGGGACGGATGAACAAATCGGCTTGGTGCTCAACTGCTGGATCATCGGATCTGTCTGGTTCAACAGGACAGTGCACCCCAGGAGAGGCCTTTGGAGGCTGAATGTCCCTCAGACACACCAACCAGCCCCATTGTCACTGAAGGGACTCTTGCCTAGGTTAGGACTTTGCTGATGGCTGTCAGAATCCACTCACCAGCACATTCAGCGGGTGGCACGAGCTGTGTCAGCAGTGCTCCTGCCTGCGGTCCTGACTCCTCTGCTCTAAGGGGACACCAGGCAAAGTCACATTTATCAATAGCTTCTGACAGCACCCTGGTAACCACAACAAGCTTGGAGCCCTCTTTTCAAATCAGATGGCTTTCTTTGTAAAGGCTGGTGCTTTCTGACTCAGACTGACAGTTCAAAGTGCCCCCTGGCCTCTAGTGCTTTGTTCAGCCTGGCTGGCTGAGCACTCCTGCCACCAGTGGGGCTCAGCTGTGCAAGCACTGGTGATTTGCAACAGAGGTGTCACTGCCTGGACAGGTCATGCAGAGACTAGGAGAAACAGGCACTTCCAGGACATCTCTCATCTCATCCTAGAGGCCAAACCTGAGGATTTGTACCTTCAAAGTGCTGCTTCTGACCTCCAGCTACAAAGCCCCTCTGGGCAGGTAGTTAGGATAGTAGGAGGTACCCAAAGATAGGGGATAAATCAGTTCCACTGCCTGATTTGCCCCTGAAACATCCAACCTGCTGGTTTGTGGCACATCTGCTGTCCTTGCGCTGCCCTGCTCAAAGGGCATTAATTTCCCAAGTGTGGATGCTGATTGCAGGAGTCATGGGGATAGTCCCACCTCTGTCTGTTGTCCAAATCAATGGAGCTCCCATGCTGTGCAATCTTGAAGCCCACACCACTGCTGTAACACGTGTGATCAACTTCCATCTTGTTCTTCCCAAGATTTTATTTTCCAATCATAAGAAGAACAGATGAAATTACTATAAATAATTTAATATCAACATTGGTGACTCATCCAAAAACATGTGTTAGTGCTGAACATTTTGCTTGATGGTGGTAACCAAAACGAGTTACAATGTGCTGAAAACACATCTGGCACCAGAAACTAAGCCAGAATCTCTGAGATCTTGCAGGTAGGAAAGGTAAATATCCTTAAGAACGGGAAAAAAACCACCCATAACTCTGGAGTGTTAAATAATTAAAGAAATAGCATCAAAACATGGGATAGAGAGTTTGATTTGTTTTTCAGGTATTTCAGGGCTGTGGAAATCCCAAAATCAGCACAAAAGGCTCCAGCAGTGAGGACAAGAAAAGACGGGGGAAAGTCACGTTGGAGGCCAAATCCTCTGCACAAGCGCTGGAGATGCTGGTGAGTTTGTGTCCAGAGCTCCCTCCTGCCAGTGACCAGGACAGGAGTGCTGGTGTGTGGTGTCCCCTGGGAGGAGATCACTCCCCTGTGGGTCCTGCAGGTTTGGTCAGACCACCTAGGCTGTTCAATGACGAGTCTGAAGCTCAGATCAAGTGCTGGTGTGAGCAGAGCAGACCTGGTCTTCTTGCCTCTGCACATGGTGTGGTCTGTGTTGCTGAAAACCAATTTCCTAGGGATTTGGGGCCACACTTTTCTGAAGAGGCTCCTATCCACTGGTGTAGTTCGGCCTCAGGCAGTCCAGCCGGGATACTGGGGCCAGAGGTCCTTCTCCATGAAGATTTTGGGTTCTGTGGATGGCAAGCTGTGGGATTTGCCATGGTCCCACATGTCAGAGGCTCCTCACTCGCAGACACCCATCTGTCTCACCCAGCAGAACTCTACTGGCTCTCACCCAGGACCTTCTGAGCATTTCCCTCATGGCCCAGAAGATGGTCTCCTCCTGGTTAATCCTGTGGTACTGGAGCAGTTCTTGTCATGTCACCTTCAGCCTTGGGAGCTTGGGTTTACAGCTGGTCTTTAGGGGAAGGTTGATGACACATCCTTGTTTTCATAAAAACACACTTTGTGATGGTAAAACAAAAACAACAAAAAAAAATAGGCAGAAACCTTATCCTTTCCTCTGGCCTGGGGTGCCCCAGAGGTCTCCTGGCCCTGAGCATCCCATTTGCTTACAGGTTTTAGATGCCAAAGGGAATCTGACAGCTCTCAAGACGTACTGGATCACCCTGCCCAGCAGCCTGTGCAGCAAAAAAGTAATGGCCAGCTCAGTGTCGGATGACAAGTGTTGGAACGGGATGACCAAGGGCAGGTATGGAGTGGGCCCAGGTGCTGGGATAGCACCATTCTGGAGTGAGAGGGAGGGTTTGATCATCACAGCCAGCCCCACTTGTTCAGAGTGAGCAGTCTGTCCCTGTCCATAGAAATGCTGCATTTCCTGAAAAACTGGTACGTGGGAATGTCAGGCCTGGTGCCGTTTTGCTGCGTGTCAGAGGATTAAGCACTGAAAAGCGTTTGCCATGAAATAACTGCAGTTTTCTTCTTCTGAAGCAGTTTTGCAATTCCACATGCACTCAGAAGGCAGCAGAGCTGAATTTAGCTCCAGCTAAATCTGTTGCAGAAACAAACTCCAGAGCTGCTGTGGAGAATTGCATACGTGTCTCTCTGTCCATACCTGCTCTGAAATGCTGTTTCCTCGTGAGAGGAGGCACCCAGGTGACATCAAACAGCTGCAGAAACAGTTCCCACCCTGGCTGAGGGTAAAGGATGTCTGAGGGGAGATGGGCAGCTGCTGGACCTGCATCTTTCTCCACTTCTCTCCATGGACTTGCTTTCCTAGGGCCCTGTCTGGTTGAACTGGGCTGGGTGCATTCAGTGGTCCCAGGTGTCAATCCCCACAGGTTTAACCAGGAAAGGATGAAGGTGCTCCTCGGCCTCCCAGAGGCACAGACATTTTCCATAGGGGAGTGTCACTGTGGGTCCACGGCTACCAGTCTGAGAGCAATTCCTGAGCCTTTCCTGCAGGAAATCTCTCCCTAACCCAGGATGCTGCAAGGCCATCAGCCACCTCCTGCAAGCTGAGGTAGCCTCAGGATGAGCTCAAGGCTCTGCAGGGGTCTGGCCATGGCAGCATGGCTTTTGGCCATCTGTGGTTGCCTCCCAGCAAACACCACCCTACAGAGGATGTTCCACAGCCCACTGACTGCAGCTTCTCTTGGGCTCACAGAGGCTGGATTATCACCCGTGCCCATAACAGGGAGAGGTGAGGTGAGCTGAGAGGGAGTCATCTAAACCTGTCACCTTCCTTCCCAGTTACCTGCCTGAGGTGATGGGGGACGGCCTAGCTAACCAGATCAACAACCCGGAGGTGGAGGTGGACATCACCAAGCCAGACATGACCATTCGCCAGCAAATCATGCAGCTGAAGATCATGACAAACCGGCTGGGCAACGCCAACATCGGCAACGACGTGGATTTCCAAGACACGAGTGAGTGGAGCAGAACGGGAGAGGTCCCCGCAGGCGAGAGGGGCTGAGCAGTGAGTCCTGCAGCCTGCACAGGGTCCCTGCAGACCTGCTCTTGGGCCCGTGGGGCAGAGAGGGGGCTGGGGCAGCCTGGCTTTTGGCTTGGAGCTGCTGAGGGGCTGCTCGAGTGCAGCCGACTTGCTGTGGGGTGGCTGGAGGCTGTGCTGCTCCCAGTGCCTTACTGAAACCTGAGGAGCTCTCTCCAGTGCCAGCCCAGCCCTGCTTGAGGGGTTCCTGTCTGCTCCGTGGGTTTCCAGCTGCTGCAGCAGTGGGTGGTTAAGTCAGCTGGAGGTCAGGTACGGGCTTGTGTCCCACAGTGGGGGATGCAGAATGCGGAGAGGAGGAGTGGCCGGGGCACGGCTGGCAGGCAGAGCCCCCTGGGGTTGCAGGGACGTGTCCCACCATAACAAGGCAGTCGTGGCTGAGCCCGTGTTTGTCTCTGTGCAGGTGACGACATGAGCGGCTCCGGGAGCGGGGACAGCTGTCCTGACGACGTCTGCGGCAAAAGACTTTCTAAGAGCCCCAGCACCAGGCAGCCAGAAACACACGCTATTCCTAAGCAGTCTGGACACGGCGTCCGTGGGGCCAGCAGCAGATCTTTGCCTTCTGCCTCCCTCCTCCTCCTCCTCTCGGTGGCTGTCATCGCCCCGCAGCACTTGTGGCGGTAACTCACTGGCACGGCCAGGAAACAGACTGCGGCTGAGGGCTTCACTTTGCCAAAACCAACCAACCAACCAACAACCAAAGGACATATTTAATTCACCTTGGCAAAAAGAAAAAAAAAAAAAAAAAAACACAACAGGAAAACGAAAAGAGGGAGGAGAAAAAGGTTTCAAAAGGTTTCAGTTGTTTGCTATTTCTGGCAGTGCTCGAGCTGTTTTCTTCTTTCTCGGTCTTTCCCCAGTGCTGGGCCCTTCTTTCTGTACCTCATTGTTTTACTTTTGTTATTGCCACAAACTGGCTCTTGGGGCTGACACGAGCCTTTGCAGAGAGGGCTCTGGGGGAACTTGGCTGGCCCCTACGAGGGCAGCTCTCCTGCTGCCTCCAGTGGAATATGCAATTGCCCTGACCTTGTTCCCCGGCAGTGGCCGGAGCGGTGCCGCCGACAGCGCGAGGGTGCCACGGGCAAAGCCGGCTCCTCCCGCAGAGAGACTGGGATCCTCAGCGCCGCTCACGTGCTGCATTCAGGGCTCTTTCGGGTTCTTTGTGCTTCCTAAGTGGGCAGAGATGGCCCTTCACGTCCAGCAGCGTACGTAGGAGCACAGGCAGGTCTGGTGGGTTGAACTGACACAGTTTGTCAGTGGCTGTTGGACCCAAAAATGCAGAACTCCCTTTTTCTTTGGAAAGGTCACAAGTGGGTTTCTTGACTAGAGCTCGTAGCTGGCAACAATTTGAAATGTAGGTCTCCTACATCTAAGTGACTGGGAATGAGTGTTAGGGGTTGGGGTTTGGGATACTTTTTCTTTGCATGCTAGTTGGAAAGCCATTTTTTACCCAAGTAGCAATGGTCCAATTTCTACCTGCAGTGCAGTACGGTCGTAGGTAACAGACAGATGAAAATATGCACAGTGGGATTCTCCGAGTGACAGACAGTTGTGCTGCCTCCTCCTTCTCTGGCTCCAGCCATGAACAGGAATCCATTTGTTTTTTTCTTGGTAATAAGAAAGACCAGGGGCTTTTTACTAACTGGAGCTTTGGGACTGGTTGTGTCCCCCAGGCAGCTGCCTTAGGGCAGAGAGGGGCTGGTGATGATCAGCAGTGGACAGTGTCCCTACCCAGGGGGCTGGCTCAAAGCAGCACCTACTAGAGGGGATGTGAGGATGGGATACATTTTGTTTGTTTTCCTTTGGTGGTGTTTGTTCCAGTTGCATTGTAGGTTTTTAATGAATTTCCCTGTTGCTTCCCCATTATCCAACACACCTTCTCTAACCACTGCAGGGATGGGCTGAGACAGTGGGTCAGGCACCCACGGGCAGCTCTGTTTTGGCTCAGGGTAGGGCCAAACTCATGCCTTGCTGCCCCGTCCCAGCACACACCAGCCTCTGGGTCACACAGGCCTCTGGGTCACACAGGCTGCTCCCTAACCCCAAAATGCCTGGTGGGGTGGGCTCTGTGCCAGGTTTGGAGATTGGGGGTGGTGGGTGAACGATATAAATGTCCCCACATAGCTGTAGGAGTGTCTGTGCTTGTAGGGCTGTGCTCTGGGGCTTCCAGAGGCTTCTGTGCCTGACAGGAGCAGCCAGTGTTGGCTGGAGGCGTAGGTTTAGCAGATCCAACACAGTCTCTGTGACTGTTGGGCCAAGAGCGCACCCAGGGGTTGGGTTTGAGTTTCAGTTGTGTTTGTACTGAGACAAGGGGGAGGGCAGAGCTGGGTCTGTCTCCTGCTTTACTGCTCTGCACCACATTTGAGCATTACTCCTCAGTCCTGCCAGAGGAGACATGCCTTTGGGCTGAGCAAACATGATGGGGTTTGGGTTTGGCCATTTCCTAAGAAGAGGGAAAAAACCCATTTTTAACATCAGGAGTTTCTAGAATGTGCAATTTGAGATGAGAACATGAGGAAGGTAATGCCAAAAAGCTCATCGCCTGCCCTCCCTGGGGCCCAGTGATGGCACTGAGGGTGCCTCAAACTCGGCAGAGATTTTAGGCCAGCTTTGACTGGCTGTTCCAAGTCTGTGACTGGTGTCACTGACTGGGCATCCTTTCTGCCTTGTCCTCACCTTCTTGTAAGGTAAAATCTTGCCTGATCTTGTAGGGTGTTTGAAATGACTGCCAGTGACATTGGCTGAAGGACAGACGATGCCACTAGACCCATCAGAACCCTGGAGAGGATAAATGCAAGTTGTGGATTTGTACAGGTTTATTTACTTCTAGACATATGACAAGTTCACATGAATTTACTGCTCTGAAGAGTTCCTAACTTCTTTTTGAATTTTTTTTTTTAACTAGAATTTCTGATACAAATTTAACCTTCAGTTACAGAAATCCCCACAACCAGTCCTGCAGAAATTTTACATCCAAAGCAAAATTAAGAGGAGGGAGAGGACATTCAAACCATTGTACCCTCTTCAAAATATGGTTCAGCTGGAGTTTTAACATGTGGATGCTGAGGTCAGTGTTTTGCTTTGCAGAATGAGACCTGAAAGGAAAGTCCCCGTCACTTCCATTTCTGTGCAGTTAGTGTTTACTATCCGCCTTTTTACTCTTAGAAGCATCTTAGGGCCCCTTCACACCTTAAATGTAAAGCCAAGAATTTACTGATTGTCCACTTAGTCTTTTAACAATTTAATAGCCCAAACTAATGGTTCTGTTACAAGAGTAGAACCTGATAGTCCAAATTAATAAGGCAAAACCTCAAAGAAGCTGTAAAACCAGTTCCGCAGGAGAAACCCTTCCTGATGTCTTCCCCCCAAGGCTGGGTTGAGCTCCCACTTCACGTCCCTCCAGGCCCTGAGGGTGGCCCCTTCTATCGTCTGGGAGCCGAGCTGGGATGAGACCAGCAGGCAGGCGAGGGCAGTGCCGGGGGCTCAGCCCCTCTTTGCCAGGAGGGACATGACGGTGGTGGTGACACTTCCTCCCATCTGGGCCCTGGGCCTCCTTGGATTTATTTTTCTACCTTTTCACACAGTCAGTCAGTGCTCCTGCTTTTTGTTGGCTCCTGGTTATTCAGTTTTTCTTTTCTCTTTGTTGCCCTGAAGTGGTTTCCCCGAGCTGCTGCCATTAAGCAACCAGGGGCTGCACTTGACCATGGCATCTTCCCCAGGGAGCCAGAACAGCACAGTCCCCCCAGGGCATCAACTCAATATCACCTAAACTAAAGCAAAGCTAAACAAACCATAGTTACTGATGACTAAACAACCACTGGTGTGGCTCAACAAGCTGAAATCAGCCCAGGTCCAGACAAGGCCCAAACCTGTGCTCGGGCTGGCACAGAGCCTGGGGCCTTTCAGTGCTTATAAATGACATTTCTTCGTCTACCACCTGCTTAAAAATGCTGTGAGACAGCTCCCCAGCCCCTGGCTGGTGGCTGCTTGGGTTGGCTAGATGAGAGGAGCCCTGGGGAACTGGTCTGTCTGTGGAGAAACATCTGCTTCGACATTATCGAGATAGAGATTTGTGGTGTTCTGGTGTGAAAAGGCCTCTTGCTTGACAGGGGTAGCGCTCTAGGAAAAAATATTAACAAAAACAACGTCCCTGGGAAGGGGAGAACCAGAAATAGTGGATTTCCAAGTGTCCCTGTCTTTCAGCCTGCTCTTTGTGCCATAACATGTATGTTTTAACCAAGGGCAAGGGTCTCAAAAGGCTTTGAGAGCACAGCTACTTCTCATTTACAAATGACAAGCTGCCTGTTGTTTTCTGGTGGGCTTGGTAGGGGCTAAGGTATAGCAGAATATCTGAAGTCCATCTTTGCTTTAAACAGATGCATTTCTACCTGCAGAAGTAAGAATTATTTCACTTATCAGCATAGCTGGACAATTATCTATTTCTTTCTGTTACCAAGGTACTTGTAACTCTCTTGCACTGTTTATCTAAAGTTGAAATATGTTCTTTGAATCCTTGTATAAATAAAAAGGCTGGAGACAAACCTAGGTAACAGGGCAGTTATTTCTTCTCCATTTAATCTGAGTTTGGCATTTTCTTTCTTGTTTTCCTTGTTAAGGCACAGATAAAGGGCAGGTCAGGAGTCCTGAGGAATGAAATGGTGTTTCAGCCACAAGTTTCTAATGGGCTGATGCCAGTGTTGGCAGTAGGGGTTTGCCTGGATCCAACTCTGTATCTTCCAAGGAGCAGCTGCTGGGTTGGATATATGGATGTGTGTTTGTGGAAAGAAGGTGAGCCTGGCTTGAGTCATCAAAGCAAGGATGCTAAGTGTTCTCTTTCTCGTGTAGAAGCACAGAATGACATGGTATAACAGCATAAGGAATCAGAAATGCCCTTGTTATTGATCATTACGAAGTGTTGTGGTAATTACAGCCATGGCCTTACACCAGTGCAGCTGCTGGCAGGGCTCACAGCAAGAGAGGCAGTGTTGTGAATGTTTGATCTCGAGCACGTGCTTGATGCTGAACTGGTGCAGCAGAAAGGTTTGTGCTTCAGCTCTGTCCTTTCAGAAGTGGGTGAATACAGCTGTCAAGGTAACGCATCGGAAGCTGCTCGTGAAGTGTCTAAGAAAGACTTGATAACTGGAAACTACTAGAACTGTATCTTTCTGCCTGGAAGCAAATACCACCTAAATTTAATAAACTGAGTGACACCCTTGAGTGAGTAGGCATTTCTTTAGGTTCCTGTCCTGCAGTTACAGCTATTTGCACCACATGCACACATTCATATAAATACAGACAAGTGCAGAAATGTAGGTTTTCTCCTTGGAGCAGTTGTTTGCACACCAGTTGCCTCCTTTGCCTCCTCTGTGTCTAATGATGATCTTAAATAATATCCACTTACAGCTGTGTGTGTATTAAAGTTGTCTGAAAACATTCCTGCAGTTTGTGATGCCACTGAACACTGCGTGTTTGCAAATTCACTGAGAGCTTGTGGGAGGTGTAGGGTGTGATGCCACCTCAGCTCCCACGTCCCTGCAGCCACATAGCCCTGCTTCCCTGGGAAGGGAAGGCTTCAGGGGCTCTGACAACAGCTTGGTACCTACAGGGAGCTCACCAAGATGGTGGGGGCAGGCACTTTTACAGGTGCATGGAAAAGGATGAGACACAGCCAGTGTAACTGGGGCTCTTTGCACCGTACCCCAACTGGCAGTGGCACGAAGACCAGAAATCCCCCAGCAAAATCTGGACTGAGGCATCAGACCTTTTCTAGTCAGGAGATGAGGCTTTTACCCTGCAGTTTGACCATCATCTTGCAGAGCTGGCAACCTGTCTTCACTGCCAGGAGGTGGCATTTGCATTTACCGTATGAACTGCTCTCCATATAAGGATAAGTGCCCTGTCCCTATTTCCTCCTCTGCCCAGGGACATGATACAGGGTGGGCTGAGGGGAAGGGACAACCTTTCTGGTATGAATGACTATTCTTAAGTCAACTGCAGGCAGGTAGCAAGTAAACATCTTGAGTGAGGAAGCACAGGTGCGGGCACAGTGGCATGGTGCTTATGTGACAGAAATGCTGCCCTGGGATGATCTGCACACCAGTGCAGGAACTCATAAACCAGTAAGTCACCAGATTTGTCCTATTAGTCCTTGCTCTGCTGCTGTGACAGTCCAGGTTCATTTTTGTGCTAGCAACAAATATTGGTCACATGCTCCTGTTTTGCCAGAAAGCAGAAGGGTGAAGCAGCTCAGCCACGTTTAATCCTACTGGTACCTAATGGTACCAGTGACCAGCCCTGTGGCACTGGCTGATGTGCCATTCACCTGGCCGGGCCCTTGTCCCCATCCCCACCCGTCCTGCACAGCTCTAACCCATGTCAGCACACTCCAGTGTAAGGTACTCCTGCTCAGGCACCACACCAGCAATTCTACAGAAGTCCAGAGAAATTAATGCTATACTATCTAGCCAGCCTAGTAAATAATTTTCTGGGCACTCAAAAGATGCTATTGTTGTATGTGAGGGGCCTCAAGATGCTCTGGAGGAGTTCACATCGATATTGCATCAGTGCACCAACTGCGCTGACTGCAGCAGCCTTGCCGTGCAGAACACAGCGGGTAAGCAGCTGCTGTAGGAGTAGGGACTGTAAAATCCAACTAGTGATTCACAAGTGAGCTGCGGGCTCTGAAAGCGTTTTAGCTTTCCAAACGCAGCTCTCGGGATGCAGCCGGCGCTAGGACCTGCCTGGAGCCTCTACGCCCCAGCCTGCACAGAAGGGATAAATACAGCCCAGCCCGCCGGCTGCGGGCGGCACAGCCGCGCTGCCGCCGAGGAGCCCCCGCACCCCGACCCCCGGCGCGGAGGGGCCGGGTTCCCCTGGCTGCCGATGCTGCAGCTCTGCAAGGTCACGGCCTCCCTGTTCCTCGGCACGGCCAGGGCAGCCTGCGACGAGGAGCTGCTGTCGCGGGAGGGGGTGACCTTCTGCATCAATGTCACCAGGCAGCAGCCGTTCCCCGGCCTGCCGCGGGTGCGCGGCATTCGCGTGCCCGTGTTCGACGACCCGGCCGAGGACCTGTACCGGCACTTCGAGCCGTGCGGCGCCGCCATCGAGGAGGCCCTGCGGGGCGGGGGGAAGTGCCTGGTGTACTGCAAGAACGGCCGCAGCCGCTCGGCTGCCATTTGCACGGCTTATCTGATGAGGCACCGACAGCTCCCGCTCAAGGACGCGTTCGAGGTAACGTGCCTATGCCCAGATTTATATTTAGACTTCTTTGGGGGAAGAAATGCAAGGCTTGTTATGAGTAATGATGAGTTATTTTGGGCTCTCACCTGCCCATTACCAGTTATACAGATATTCAACATTTTAAAGAAATGTCCCCTCTACAAGTTTTTTCACCCCTAGTTTGGACAAATGACCTTCCAGTGTGAGGTTTCTGGGACAAAATAATTACAAATGCAAATAGGCTTTGAGCACCAGTAGGAAACATGCAAAGCTGGTCGTTTAGTGAACATTTTTCTCTGTCAGTTGCACAGTCACAGTAAGTGACATTAAAGACAGAGACAAATGAGTGGGTGCAGGAATTGTTTTGCAGGATTTGCTCCTTCACCTGTGTGACAGCTCCACACAGCAGAGAGATATCCTGTTAGGCCTGCTGAATGGCCAGGGACGAGCTAATGAGCAGCAACATCTCAGCTTTCCTAGGAAGCCCATCCAGTACAAACTACTTGGGCTCTGGGGGCTTTTAGTCTTCACCCATTTGGCAGGTGTATCACTGAAGTCTTTAGATAACTACTTTGCTCAATTTAGAGTGTGTGCAGATTGTGACCAGTTCCACGCTATCTTAATCATGAGCAGTGTCACCACACTTTGTGAGAGACATTCACATTTCCAGCAAATTCAACAGCTCCTTCTCACATCTTGCCCATGAATCCCTTCTGTAACAGGGACCACATGCCAGGTCATAGAGTGAGCTCAGCTCACCAAAATAGCTGCTCGTTATTCTGTGGTCAAATCAAAACCAAAGTGAATCTTCTCAAAGGTCTAAGGAAAACAATCCATTTACAGGACACTCACAAATGCAGGACACTCACAAATGCAGGACACCTTGCTTCTACCGCTCTCTCCTGTTCCCTAGGCTGTGAAGACTGCCAGACCTGTAGCAGAACCCAACGCAGGATTTTGGTCTCAGCTGCAGAGATATGAAGAAGATTTGCAGATGCTGAGCAAAGGACTTAAAACTAGCGATGTATGAAGATGCTTTAAACAGAGTGATGTTTCTACCGATTTGAAAAAAATTAAAAAAAAAAAAAAAGGGAAAAAAAATCCCTTCCTAAATGACCTCTACATAAAATGCCTTACTGCCATAACTGAGTTGATGGTTCATTAAATTAATTCAGCTCATTTCTGTTGAAGGTGCATGGAAACAGGGTGGATAAGCAGCGAGAAACAACAGAAACATAAAATGGTTGGAAGGACTGTAAACAAAGCAGAGGAAGGCATGGAATCTTCAGCACTTACTTCCCTCCGAACAACTCGGAATACGAGTGAAGGAGTTACCACATAGCACTTTTACTCTCGGTTTTTATTGAAATTTCCCTGTGATGCCACTAGAAGACCTGATGCCGAACCAAGGAAGTTCTAAATTCCTGTCTCATCTACTGGATATTAATTCACAGTCAATGATGTTCACAAGCTGACACAACTTTTGGTGGGAAACCAACACTGGCTGATGCTTAGTCCCTGCCATTTTCCTTATGTTCAACCAGACTGAAGCACCTTCCTAAAATTACCTAAAAATCCAGAGGACAGAACGTACAGATGATGGTAAGGAGTTCAGCTCCCAACATGTAAGTTAAGTGCCTTTTCAGCTTTTGAAATTGTTCTCTAAAACACCGAAGGAATGATTTAAAAAACAACAGTTGATAGTGGAGGGAAGAAGATGACACAGGCAATTTAGAAGTGATCCTCACCCTTTTTAGCTTTCCTTAAGTCTTACAAGATCTGCCAGTGCCCAGCACATGCCTTAATGTGCCTGTTTACAGCTGTCAGCTGTACCTGCATCCAAGCACCATGGCGAAATCATTTCTGCTAAGACTGCTTGCAGGTTGCTCTCTGAAATTATCTATTGGGACATCAAGAAAACTGCATGAGACTTCTAAATCAGACTACTATATGTTTATAGTAAGACATTAGAACTAGAGAGAAACACCAAGCTATTTTGTCAAACTGGATGAATACATCTGTAATTTAAAAGGGACAAGTTATGAAACCCATGAACCTGCAGGGTGAAATTCCATTTCATGTTGCTTAAAGCTTAAATATAAAATAAAATTAGCTCATCACCATCTGTCTGAGTGCTCACACAAGGCAAACATATGCTCCCAGCAGTGGAGTAGTTTAAGGCAGAAATTCTAATGATGGAACAATGACAGAGAATAAAGCCTCTGGGGAGCAACACGAATTAGACAATTCAGATGCAGTACAAGTTCCCAAAGTTAAAGATTGCTCAAAGTTAAAATAGGATTATTTTAAAAGCTGAAAATAGAGAAATAAAAATAAAACATTCAGGCTATTGTTTTCTTAGTTACCACAAGGCATTTTCACACCAGATGCTTTCTCCACTCCCAGCTGTGTTTGGTTCATTCCATATCATTTATCCTTGGTATCTGCATTAAGACCATGAAATTTGTTGCACATCTGCAGATTTGAAGGTGAGTGGTTGCTAGAGGATTTATTGTAGCTTTTATAAACCTTGACTATCATACATAATAACAATTGCAGTAATACATCAGATCCTTATTAATTGCCAGGATACCACTCATCAAAAAATCTGTTCCAGTCAATCCGTGGAATAAAGTTTATTTTCTGTCAAAAGCTAAAGCTGCTAAACAAAAGTAGGAAGCTAAACATTAATGAAAACACAATACTTTTTTAACTGTGAGGCACATGAACTCGCAGTCAGACACAGCTATCAGTTCCACATGTTTGAGTCAGCTGAAATGGAAACCATTGCTCTCGAGTGTCAGCACATACTGCGCTCTGGTTAAATTTTACCAGCCTTCTCGGCATGCAGAAAAGCTTCTTGCAGCAGGATTTCACATCACATCTTCTGTAAAAAGCTATTTACATCTGAAAAACATTCCTATTTACATTGGAAAGCATGCCTCTTCCTGTACTGCTCCGAATTAAGGGATAAGATGCAACTTGGAACCGGAACCCTGGAAGTCGTTCACTTCTTTATTTGAGTTCATAACCTGCTAACGTTACTGGTGATGCAACATGTAAGTTTAGACATACTCCTTGTTGCTTATGATGGTCTCAGTGTTCCTGGAGTACATGTGTGGCTGAGGAGCTGCCCGGCCTGCTGAATATGTGTATTTGTTGGGTCTGTAATGCAAGGAAAAAAAAAGATACAAATAATAAGTATTAGACTGATGTTCACAGCTTAGATACTTAGGAAATTACTCATTTAGGTCTTTATCAAACCCACTGATAGCACACTCTTCACAAAGGTGCAGAAATTAGCTGTCTGTTGTTCTCATCAGTCTGGTAGCTACGGGGAAAGACAAAGGCTCCCTGCCAGGTAGCACAGCCATTTCTCTCACATACCCGAAGCCACACTCTGGATTCCTAATTCACCTCTGCTCTTCCTCAGGGCATTTCAGTCAAGGCCTTAAAGCAGAAGAGAACCTAGCCCTCAACGCCCCAGTGCAAGCTCCAGGTTTTAATAAAGGAATCAAGATAATGAGAAAGAAAAACAAGTATCTTCAGCCAATCCCTTCAGCTGTCATTTGTCACGCTGAACTTCTATTTCATACGATGGTTTTACCTGATTTTCAGGACATTTCAGGACATTCGGTACTTTGTATTAAAATACAGTGAGTAAGATCTAAAGTCCAATGTGGCTGATGAAATATTACCATAAAACTGGAATGGTTTCAGATTAGGCAACGGAGTATCAGAGGAACTCTCACTATGTGTTTTGACATAATCTTCCTAAGATTAAATGCATCAGCAGTGAGCACGCTTACTCCTTCCACATAATCAGCCTTTCAAGCTTAGCCAGCACAACCTCCAAGCCATTTGAGTTCTTCTGGGTACACATGAACCTCAGCTATTTCTGCCACTTTCATCCCTCTTCTTCAGAAAGGGAAGAAAAAACAAAAAAGGAATTCTGTTTGTGTCAATAATTTAAGGTTGAGAAAAAGTCCAGGAAAGATTAAATATTGAGGCCAGAAGTCTCAACTTTTCTGATTTGATGTGCAACTAGACATTTCCATAAAGAACAAGAAAAAAATCATGTTTCTAATGATCAATTGGATGTGCTTCGGGAAGGAAATGCCATTACACTCTCTGCAAATTAAATGGTGTTTGAATATTTTAAACACAGTGAGTATTGTAGAGAAGCTGGATTATAATACACTATATTCTTTGAAATACTTTTGCCAGTGGACAGTTCACTCTTTCACTGCACATTTTCACCACGTAGAACTTAGAAAAAGAAGCAGTATACCCAGAATCACCAAACACAAGTTACAGGGACCACGGATGGTGAAGTATCAATAAGTACACTGTACAAGTGTTTGGTGTAGCATCCCCTGCCATCACAGGTCTGTGACAGCCCATAGCACTGCTGTACTTTATATGGCTACATATTTATACCAGAGGGTGAGAGAGAGGGAGAAAAGTGCACAGGTAGAAAGGGGTTTGTAATTGACAGCTACTGTTTTGACTGACAAACCCAAGATTACCTGTAATTCTGTTTTTCCTTCCCTTTGCATGAGCAGGTCAGTAAGATCCCACCAAGGATATAAAGAAGAGAACCAGCCCAGCCTAAGTACAGAGCTTCTCCTAGTTCATACCTGAAACATGAAAGATTTTATGGACACAGTTTATAACAGGATCACAAAGCCATTATTTTAGACTGAGCCATAAAGTTCACAAATCACACAAACAATCAAATTATAGTCCCCATATAAATCAGCAAACTGAAAGGTATGTCAGTAGATAACAGAGAACAGATCTGGCTTTGTATCTGCTCAGTAAAACTCTTACTTGTATATTTAAGTGCTCTGCTAAACTAGTGATGGTACAGAAAGTGCTAAGCAACATTAAAATAAGTAGCAATAAATAATTGTGTATATTTAACAAACTGCTGATAATAAATAATAATAACATACCTTCTGTGCCATCCACAACACTTACATCAGTTTTCTATGGGCATGATGCTAGGTGACCTACAGGTAGCTGTCTATATAGGGCTAGTTTTCAAACTTAGGTATCCTAAAGAATATTCAGCACCCTGTGTGGCTGTATGGCTGAAATCCAGGTATGAGTGTCCCAGGGTGAAAGAGAATAGTTCCCCATTTTACTGTGCAAAACTATACCTTTCAGGAAATCCCCCAGTCCAGTCCAAGAAATTAATTGATAATGAATTTGTCACAAAGACTATATGCAGCTGAGTCTGAAAAAGTCTGGCAGGAGTTTCACAAAAAGAGGAAAACAAGTTTCGTATTTGAAGACTACATGCACAATACACCTGTACCTCTGTAGTCTGAGGTACCCAATATAAGGGCAAAATAAGTGTTATGAGTTGTGTTGGAAGTAAACTGGAACCAGAAATTTGTGTTTTCCTTCCAATTGTAAACACAGAATCATCATTTAAAAGTGTTGAAGCTTCTGACTCCAGAATTCATTGCTAACAGGAGGGTTTCAGAGGTTCCCACACCTTCCCTGTTTTCTGTGCACTCATCGCACATTGGAGCCACAAGGTCTCCACTGTTTTAGGTGCTTTCCAAACATGGTCATTATCTCAAAAAAACCGGCAGTGCAAGCTGCTGAAGGCATACAAAGGAACAGCCAAGGAGAGTTGCCCAGTGTCTGAAATCATCTCTGCTCCCCAGTCACCTACAGACAGGAATGCTGCAGATGCCATCCCCAAGGAAAGTAGATAGGAGGGATCTGCAGGAGAACTTAGGTTGCCTTCACAGCTCTTTGAGAAACTCCTCTAAGAATTAGCAGAGGTTAACTTCACTAATTTGCTGAAGTCAGAAAAAAGAATTGCAATCTGAAAAACCAGATTTGCCAGTCTCTTATGAGTGAAGATCAATACTGGCCTGCAGTTGAATTTAACTGTGTCTCAGAGTCCATGTCCAGCTTTACCAATGACCAAAGTTAATTCACCAAGAACTGCTCAGAGAATCAATAGCTCAAACATGACGTTTGGATATTAAAAAAAGAGATTTTTTCAGCTGCTGAATGCAAACAACCTGGTAACTGATTAACAGCCATTGATGTTGAAGGCCCAAAGCTATAGCAGATAACTGTAAAACTCACTAACTATCCCACTAACTGAAATTCCTTATCAACACTTTTTTTCAGTTCCTTAATGTATTTATTACCCTTCATATAGTTCTCTGAAGGGGACATAAAACAACAAGTAAGTGCACTAGTGCAGTTCCTTTGTAAGTGCTTCATTGAAAACATAGGGAAAACTGACAAACAACTAGAGCAATTGCCTGAAGTACTTTGATTCATCACAAAGCACTTCACCTCTGACTTCTCTGAACCGATTCCCAGGTGGAAGATTACAAAACACTTCAAATATGATCCTAGCAACTAGAGATTTATAGTTTACTGGTCTATGAATTATATACTAGGTAGAGTTACTGACAAATTATAGTGGTCTCATGTTCCACAGATAGTATTTTTCCCTCTCCTTTTCTCCTTCTCTGAAGGAGAGGCCTTGTGACCTCTACTCTTGTTCCTCATTGCTAAATAGGGCACCTTGATAAAGTGCCATAAGCTGCCATTTGGTTTTGACAACCATTGCTTTTATATCAAACAAGAGTAAAGGCTTTTATACCTTGAAACTTGTTTGTGTGCAACTGTACTAGCTGATAGTCCCCCAAATTTTGCCTCATTTTATTCATAAGGCAACAGATGTTGAGATGTTAATACATAGACAAGCAGCACCTTTCCCTGCAGGTCACTAGTACACAGCTCAAGTTTCTTTCTAGACAATTTTACCTTGCTTGTATACGTGAGGCAATTTATTCTAGCCACAGCTTTTGGTCTAAATGCTGAAGAAAATTAAGATTGTACCTTTTCTTCTTCATAACATTGAGATGTGCACTTAATTGAGTCTCACAAGAGAATGTAAGCAGAGTACAAAACCTGCACAGATGTGGGGTTGATATTCCTCACCTGTTCACTAACTCATCCAGAAAAGAACTCTCCTCCCTCCCCACCAACATCTCTGAGGTGACAAGATTCCCTGAAGACAATTTTTTTCCTCCTGTAAGACTGGATAGTGGTATCCATCCAGGTTCTGAAACTCTGGAGCAGCTGGGGTTAGTGCAGGTTTGTAACACATGATGGAGTTTGGTACAAGAGATCAATTAACTTACTTGGTTCCAGCATACAGTGGGTCAAAAAACTGAACAGTAACCATTGCAGCATACCAAGAAACAGCGACCATGGAGCAGAGACCTACCAGAAAAAGTTTAAAAAGCACACAGGTGAGTGATTCCTTTAATGGCTGTAACAGCTTTAAACTAAGAACAAGTTAATTTCATTTAGTCTGGTTGTGAAAGCAACACAAAGTACTGACAACATTCTCATTCCAGCCTCGATATTACCTCCTAAAATGAAAAGAAATCCTCCCGTGACAGCAAACTTCATTTTTCCATCTTCATCGCTCAACCCAATGTTTGTGCACTTCAAACCAAGCAGTGAGATTACTGTAGCTAGGAATCCCAAAAGGATGGAAGTAATCATCAAGGCACGGCATGCCTGAATATGAGCTAAGACATAAAAAGAGAAAACAAATCAGGATCTATACAAAAAATACATTAATCTTGTGCTGAAAAATTTAAAGTGATTAGAGAGATTGACAAAATTAATAAGTGCAGAAATAAAATGAGTGAATCTTGTCTAACTCTGTCGTATGGTTCAGAGAAGCCTCCAAACCTGAGCATGTTCAGTCTTCAAGTCAATTAGATTTCAGAGTTGAACAGAACTTACACTTTATAAGCTCAGTAAATCCTCTTGGGCCTTTGGTAAATCCTGAAAAATTATAGCAAGCCCCTCACACCTTAAATCTTGAAATCCTGTGAAAATGTGTAGTGGCTTATATGGTCATCTCCTGCTCACAAGTCCTGGTGGATCCTTACACCTGCAGAGCTGAGCTCACAGGACACGTCTGAAATCCACGTGCTAGCCAAGCTGTGCGGGGCTTGGGCATTACAGAGGAACTGGAAAAATGTACCAGCTTTGCTGCTTCCAGGGAGAGATAGGAAAGAATGTGCTTGAGTTAGCAGTGCACTTCAAACTGTGAGTCGGTGTAACAAACAGGAGGCAAGTGGGTCCAAGAGCTGTAGCACTCCTCTCCTCCCTAAGATACATTCCTGTGGAGAGCTTACAGCCCCTGTGGGCACGTTAGGGAATTAGGTATCCTGACAATTCTGTATTGGTTAAGGTCACGGTCTTCACATTTAGGTATCAATTGCACAAAAACCTGGACAAGATTATTAATCAGCCTAAGAAGAAAGATCAGAGACTTTGGGCTCCTCTGAAATGACACCGCACACTTGGCAGGTTCCGGGTCAAATGGCATTTTGGCACCTTTGTTGTGAGATAAACATGCCAATCTGGCAGGTCACAACTGCTAACTTTGTTAGACTTGATGATCTTAAAGTTCTTTTCCAACCTAAATGGTTCTATGACTCTAAAATTCTAACTACACATCAGAAGGGTCAGAACTGAACTGCAACTGGACACTTGCTTTGTTGATGCCAGCATTCAAGCTCTTGTTCCCTGATCACCTCCCCATCCTCCATGGTAACCTGCTGGCCAGTTCTGTAGCAGAGTGAGCCCATAACTCTCCAGACAACAAAAATCAGACAGAGAAACAGGAGGCAAAGTGATATTCACACCCTGACTCAGTGGGCTGTATTGCCTTATGTGGCTTAAGAGTATTGGTCCTGCAAGATTGAGAGTAATTAAAGATAGTAGTAAGCACTCATGAGATAAATTAAAGGATAATAAAGGATAAAATCACTTGAGAAATTAATGCCTTTTTAAGCACTAATTTTAAATTTTTTATGGAAAAAATACAGAGAGTAAAAAAAAAGGGAAAAGACCTCTCAAAGTACCATTGATGCTTCAAGGTTTTTGCCTGCAGAAGGTAGGACAAGCACTCAACAATGCTGCTTTCTAGTTTGGGGTCTTACACCAAGACATCAGGAATCACCCACAGCAGGGTCCAACAACTTACATTTCAGGTCCTGCAGTGTTAGATGGGACTTCCCATCTTTCCAGGACACACAAGCATATCCTCAGGCTAACTGCTTGCAAGCCAATGGCTGTATTATTTTAACAATAGAAATTTCATACCATTGTACCACAGTACAATAACCTCAACAGCCTTAGCTGAGGACCTTACTTCACAGTTCAGAAAGCTCAGTTTGTTGTTGTGTTTATTTTTAAAACTGGCTTGCTTATTCAACACGATACAAAGTCAGTTCATTTTATTAGTCATTACTAATTGTAAGAAATTATTCCCAAAATCTGTCATTAAAAGAAACAATTACGGAACGTGAAAAAAAGAAAGAAAGAAAAAAAAAAGAGTATAAAAAGCATTTGGCAACCAGATCTATCAAATGTTTGGCTTAGTTGTGGCTAGGTAGATAGTGCTGGCTATACAGAGGAGCCAGTCATGGTTTCAATCTTGTACAATATTGCATTTAAAAAGATCCTCACTTCAAATGTTTGTGATTTAGACTAATGGCTTACTGAACTCAAAAATATTAAATCTGTCTAAAAGAACCAAGTCTGATATTTTCCGTACACAGACCAAAAACCAGAGATACTCCACATAGTTCAGCTGCCAACAAGGAAACCTCCACAGAAAATCTTTATGATCCTTTTGATGAGAGGTAACAAAGACACTTTTGTTTTTTTCTCTTTCTTCCCCTCCCACCAGTCCCTGACATCTTTGCAACAGTTTCAGCTAAGTTTCTAAACAGCAATTTGAACCACACCTAAACTGATAATGATAATTTTTATTCTGCCTTGGCTCACATCTGCCAGTACTATAGATATTTCTTAGATATTTCTTACTGCTAGTAACAGTACATGTTACTAGTAAACTGTAACAATGAGGGCTGTTTGCTCAGTCCTCATTGTTACCAATCCCATTTTCTTCCTTTTTCCTGCTTTGCCCAGCTGTCCTTTCCACTTTTATCACAATTCAGTGTCTCCTAACTTTTTTTTTTCAGATCTCCTTTCTAAAAATGTTTTTTCTCTACAATTTTGCAAGTTGTTTTTCTCTTCAATATACAGTATACCCCTCAAATACACTGCTGTCTTCTCAACCACAGAACTGATCTCCTTTGCAACAGATTAAATTCACTTCAGGGCCTGGTCCAGTCATTTACTTTCTGTCTGGCCCCATTTATTTTTTCCTTCCTGCTGACTCCGTGTTGTCATCTGCAGTTCTTCAGGAGCTCTCCTGTTGCTTGCTTTTGCTCTCTTTTACTTTAGCACATCATAATGCTCTTTTCTGACCCACCCATTTCTTTGAAACCTCGCTTTTTCCTGGGCAGCTCCACGATGCTGCCCTGCAGCCCCATTGCCCACATCTGCACACCCACTCAGAGGCATCACTCTGTGCAAATACATCAGCGACAAGATGCTGCCTGGAGTCAGTGGCAGTAAGTGACAAACCAGCCCTTGAAGTGTTTTTTATAAGAACCAAATAAAATCCCAGGATCACCAAGGCTGGCAAAGACCTCTGGGATCCTCGAGCCCAGCTGTTCACCCAGCACCGCCAGTGCACACTGACATAAACGCTCTGCAGAGGATAATGTCCCACGGACATGATCCTGCTATTACTGACTCTAAGAAGTTTAAAAAGGGTTATATTCCTCCTAATACACACATGTACTCTAAAAGCAATTGGTAGTTAAGACTGAAAGATGAAAAGAACAGATTATTGCCTAAATACTGCACGCAGACAGCTTCAAAGAACTGCTATGCTAGTGTCAGAGCTGGTCAACAACATCCATTATTTCAGACTGAGAGAGAAAGTGAATTTAATACCTCATTGCCACTAATCCTATAGTACACATTCTTCAGATTAGGAGTATCCTCCTACATATTTAGTTTAACCACCTCCCAGGGTACATTCAACTAGAAAGAAGGCACTTTTATTCTGGATAAGTATCTACATACTGAATTATTCAAGATTAATAAAAAATAGCTTCACTACCTATAAACATCCACAGAATATTGCCTTAGTGGGACATTTGAGGACAATCCACAATTCTGCTGAAGACTGATACAGAGGACAGGAGCCAACAGATTTAAATTTCCTGATATTTAGAAGCACATTCAAAACCACATTAGTTAACAGGCCCTGACAGGTATATTAATTTATAACACATACTCCTTGTATAATTTATAACGTTATAATATGTATAACATATACTTACTGTATTTCTTGGGTTATCTGCAATTTTCAGTCTCAATACACAAAAACCACTACCACTTCTCAGCTGTAAATAGTATTTCCTGCTATATGGAAAAACTCCAGCTACAGCACATTAGCTATGAAGTATTGCAAAAGAAGACCTATACAATAATTCAAAATAAATAAACAGTTAAAAAAATGTCTCCTACTCATTCCTCCCACAAGATACTAGAGAAGAGATTACACCATACTTAAAATGCCTATTAAAATAAACGCTTGATCAACCGACTTCATTTGCCATATTTTATAGCCTCCCCTAACACGCTTGACACATTCTGCTGCTTAAGAGAGATTTTTATTACTTCAACCCACAAAGTCCTTCTTGGCCAGTTATTTTCGAGCACTACCAGATTACCAAAACAAGAGCCTGACTCCTTTTTGCCAATAAAACTTCTAAGCAATACGAACAAGGCAGTGCAGTCACATACCAGGCAGTTTAAGCAGAGTGTCAAATTCCCTGCAGTTGGACACTCCAGTGCTGTCCTCTGCACAGCTCTTCCACAGGTTTTCATACAGCGTAGATGTTGTGATCACACTGCCATGTATACTGGAGACTTTCCAGTAGTTATTCGGCAAAGTAGCTCCAATAACTGCCAACCCACCCAGGCACAAAAGAAGGCCAACAATTTCCAATGCAGCAGGCATGCTTGTGAGTAGTAACAGTTAAGTATCCTTATAATTAGATTACAATCAAGTGAAGCCTTTCAGAAGCCTCCTTGCTGTTTTATCTCTGCGTTTCACTCCAAAATGAGTCTACCTTTGCTCTTTGCTCAACCCCAGAGATAAGGCTTACTGGGCATGACAATAAGAAGTGGGAGCAGTTCATAATAAAGATATTAGCGTGTAAAAAAAAAAAACTTACAATATTAATTCTTTTTCTAATAGGAAGTGAAAAATGAGCCTCTTCCTTTTCTCAGCCTAGAAAGTCCAGTCAGTATATCTACAAAATACCTAGTAAGAGTGGGGCAAATATTTTATTTCTGTCTCTTCTCCAAAGTCAACTAGATTTTACACTAGATTAAAGTAGTTTGTAATTTTATTATTGATCTCAAAAAACTTCACTGTGTTATTTTCTTGAGGACTCAAACATGGAAAAGCTTGAGAACAGGAGCTTCATTCTGTTTCTAGAAAATTTAACACATTTTTTGAGTTACGGTCATAAGTAATCCATAACAACTGTACTGCCAGCTTCCTTTAGGAAGGTTAAGTTTGTGGATAACTGAATTCCATTAATATTTTACTGTCTATTGATCTATAGTTAAACAAATTCAGTCTTAAAAATAGTGCCATTTACACTGTACAATTGTACAATGCGTTACATTGTAATAATGTATGTGTCACAGAAACTAAATATAAGAAAATGAAGGAGACAGTGTGACAGACCTAACTCAAAAGGAATAAAAAGATAAAGAAAAACAGCCATAAGAAAAATAATACATATCAGCCAATTGCATCTGTTTGCTAAGATATCTTAGTATTAAAAGAAAAGCTATGCAAGGCAAAGAAGATGTTAAATTTGGTTTAGTTGCTACCGCTCTTGGCTAGACAGAATCATAGACACAATTCACATCACCACTAATGTTAATACTTTAGGTATCCAAATGGGGTTAACCATCCCTTGCAGTGATAATCTGCTCTTATCTCCAGGAAATGGAGTCAGAGTTTCTTCATAAAATAATTCTGCTCTGATGCAACATGGTAACAGATTCACAGTATTTACATAAGCACTACCAGAAGCATTAGCCTTTGAGAGAGTCACAACTTGCCCATAACAGGTATTTGGGGTTTTTTTTTCAAAATTCCTGATCACATTGAACTGATGCTGCAGGTTGGTAAGTTCAGCTAGAAAAGGATATTACGGTGCCACTGTGACTTTTTTGCTCCCTGGGCAGTCAAGAGAATCATTGCCATTGATTTAAACAAGATCGTATCTGGCAGCACAGATCCTGTGATCCTGTGCAGCTCTGAACTTGCAATCTTTCAAGGAAACCAGACAGTGTGTGGTAAGAATTGTTTTTTTTGGGTGACTGGTACAGAATTTTCTCCTTCTGCTAAGTCACTGCAATTTGAAAAATGATGGCATGGTAAAATGCACACACTGTACCAGTACCCTGGAGTACTTTCATCCCATTAAAAGCTCTTCAACAAGTTTCAAATTAATTTATCCATACACTGGTGACTATGCTGGTGACCTCAGCAATCACTTCTGCTGACAGCACTTTCAAAGATGAGATTAGTTGGGACCTTGAATCAAGTGTCACCAGATATTATACTGCTGCCAATGATAAAAAATTGAAGAATATAACTTTTAAAAAAATCTCTTCCTAATTAAGAATCTTTTTCAATAGGCTGTCTACAGAGCACATATATAAACAAAAAAGATTATACTGCAGATTATAATGCAGGAGCTTTTCCTATATGGCACCAGGAATTTTAATCATTCCCTTTAGGAAGTAACTTTTCAAAATGTTAAAGAACATAGGGCTATTCTTTGTTAAATTTCATAAACTGTGGTTTGCTGAGTGATGGGCAGAACAGCCAGGGCTGCTCTGCAGGAGGCTCTGAATCAGCAGCAAACAAGAGTTGGTGCTGACAGCTTCATATCCACACCTTCCACATCTTGAGAGCTTCCCTTTGGGCTTGCTCTGACCCGGTCAGGTGAGCTGAATGCAGTGGATGGCTGGAATTCTGGAAGTGCGCTCCTGGAGCACATTCCCCTGCTTTGCTTCATCCACAAGGAAAACAATTTGCATGTTCCAAGACCACAATGCAGATCAGGTGCAGTAAAAGGAAAATTCATTACAAAAGTGCACTCCCAAGTAAAATGCTTACAAAGACATACCAAGACATGACCATATATGATCATAGCAACACATGACTGAGGAGAGAAATTGCTCCTAATCCCTCGGATGTTGTCACAACAGAGCACATTTTTGTGCAATATGGTTGAGAGAGAGTTTACAGGCAGAAATAGTAGTTTTTAAAATCAGATCACCCAATACAACTGGGGAAAAAATACTGAGAATATGAACAACCTAAGTGTTTGATCAACATGAGCTGCACCTCACTTTCAAGATCTAGGAATGTTGACTGAGCACTGCAAGCAGAGAAACAGCCCTGCAACAGATGACAATTATTCTGCAAGCACCACATGATGTGCCTTGGCATGAGGAACCTGTGTTGATTTTAGGGGACATGCAGTTCTTTGAATAGTTGAAGATGATCCACTGAGCGCTGCCAACCAGGGCTCCAGTCTTCCAAATATGGGGGCCACGGGAAGAGAATCCCTAGGAGGTGACTGTTGCAGTTCACCAGGAACTCTTCTCTTCCTGGGGAATATTTTCTTTCCATGTTGGGTGTAGTGAAACTTCATTAAAAAAAAAATGAAGAAGGCTGTCCTGCATTTCTACAGTGACTCTGCTTGTCTCCATAACAGGGCTGTAACATAGAATCATAGAATCATAGAATCATAGAAACATAGAATAGATTGGGTTGGAAAAGACCTCCAAGATCATCAAGTCCAACCCCTGATCCAACTCTAATTACTATATCATGCACTAAGGGCCATGTCCAATCTCTTTTAAAAACCTCCAGGGATGGTGAATCCACCACCTCTCTGGGCAGGCTGTTCCAATGCCTGATCACCCTCTCTGTAAAGAATTTCTTCCTAACATCTAACCTAAACTTCCCTGGCAGAGCTTGAGCCCATGTCCCCTTGTCCTGTTGTTGGTTGCCTGGGAGAAGAGACCAAGCCCCACCTGGCTATAACTTCCCTTCAGGTAGTTGAAGAGAGTGATGAGGTCACCTCTAAGCCTTCTCTTCTCTAGACTAAACAACCCCAGCTCCCTCAGCCTCTCCTCATCTGCTTCTCCCTGTTACACAAGTCAAGGCAGAGCTGCCACACCATCATAAGCATCCATGCCATCTTGCTACAAGAACTGAAGGACTGTTGGCCCCATCTCATCACTCTAATTTCCATAAATCATACTTAAGTTTCTAGATGAAACTTAGGCATCCTGCTATCTACATAGAGGAAGCCCTAGAGAGGAGCAGAATGGATACCAGGATGGTATGAAAAGCTGACATTGCCTTTGATGCAATGAGTAGTGTTTTTAAAATCTTTAGAAGCATATGATTAGTCTTCTTTTGAGGCTACAGGTTCTGGTCTCATTACAGGATGCTGATAGTTGTTCTTACACTGTCACCATTGATAAGAAGGCAAAAGGCCATCAAAGAGCCAGGGTCCTGTGGAAGAACCATGAATGTGCTGAGAGTTCACTCTTGAGAGTTAAACTCTCACACTTTAGAGATCTGTCTCAGGCAGCTCTGGCTCCGGGATAGTCCATGTCTGTTTCAAGAAAAACAAGGTTCATAGTCTGTGTCAAAAAACACAAGGTTCATACTCTGTGTCAAAATAACAAAGTTCAGAGTCTGTGAGACCTGGTATTTTGAATTTCTGGCCACTGCACATCAGGAATAAATCAGCTGGAAAGAGTCCAGACAAACAGCAATGGCAGTAATCAGTGACCCATAAAGCAGGGAAGACTTGAAGAAATGATTCCATTAATATCACTCATAAAATGACTGCACAAAACTGAAAGTTGTAAAGGAATAAACTGAAAGTTCTGTTTAAAATGGAAAGCTTAATAAAATACCAGTTTTCTAAGGCTGCACTGTTAGTATTTCTACACTCATTCTTTTGAGGAAAGATCTTCAATGTTAGTTCCCCACAGTCCTTTGCCATAAAAAAGGTGTTTACAGAAAGATGTCTTCAGAATTTAGAACAATTCAAACAAATAGTTTTCAGTCCCTACAGAGACACTTCTTTTCTTTCTACTTGCAGACATGCAGACAAACTACCCTGCTAGGAGGGTCTACCATAGAAAACACAAAAGCACCAGTGGCACAGATGTATTTTAATCTAAGCCGGCCTCTGAGAAATTCCAGAACAAATACACAGGTCTAGTACAGTATCCAACAACCATCCAACAAGTTCTGGATTATCTATCATCTGTCTCACACCAAAGCACAAACAAGCACCAGTGCTCACTGAACTAAGATCTGCTTGTATTTAAGCATTAGGCTGAGAGAAAGAACACTATTTCTTCCCAAACAATTTAAAAAAAAATCTTAGATTTGTTGTATATCACTGATATCTCTGTGTCAACACAACAGAATGGCATCAAAGCCACAGCAGTGACGGAGCTGAATTGCAGGCTGAACAATACAGGTTTCACGGGGGCCCTTTAACCTGTCTGCAACCACTACAGGATTTGTCCACACCAGCCCCTCTGTGACAATGGCACTACGTGCCACCCCACTGTGCTAACCTACTGTCCAGAAAGAAGGAATAAAACCACATCCCTGGATTTTATACACACATGCCATGCACACTTACTGTCTGAACTCAACATGTACAGAAATTTCTTGCACTCTACTGATCCAAGAGCAGTTGCTGCGCAGTCCATCCAAAGACCCTCAGAAACCCAGTCTGCAGTGACCAGCTCTGTCGCAGCGTCCAAAACCTTCCATCTGTTGGACATGGTAGTGACAAGCAAAGTGGTGAATCCTGATAAAGCCAGCAGCAATGCACAGATCTGTAGGGAGGATGACGCCATTCTTCCGGCAGGAATTGTCTTCAAAGAAACCTCCCAAGATTCCTGATATTAGAAACCTGTTGAAATAGTTTATACACACAGAGTAAACAGAGCTACCTTTACATAAGCCTGACCAGGGAACTGTAGAACTGGAATCTGAATCTCATTAAATAATTGGAATACTTAAATATTCTATGACACTGAGTATTTTTTTAGGAAAACTTTTATTACTGCGCATGTTTACCACAAAAAAGTACCAAAACCAGAGGATCTGACTGAGGAATTCTCTACTTTAAATTTGCAATGTTTCATCCATTCTTTATTTTTTTGCTAACTCAAAATTCTTTTAAAATTAGGACAATCAGCTGCAATTACGCATCTCCCAATTACAACACCTGCCAATACAAATCTAAAGCAAGATAAATTTTGATACTCACGTTTATGGGCAGCTTCTAACCTGTTTCATCTACCTTCCTGTGAGGCACTGGTGTCAGCACTTTGTGAGGACCAATTTCATCAACCAAGTGAAAGCTTCATACTCTTTTGGACCTTTGCTCCCATTTCAAAAATCAAGGACCTGGGGCCAAAGCTTTGCCTGACTTGCACAAAGCTCTGGCATGGCTTTTCGCTACAACAAAGTGTCAGCAAAAGGGAAAAATACAACAAAATCACGTAAGTTAGTACCAGAGATGCTCAGATTAACCTGGCACCCACTGGCATATAATTTGCTTTGCCAGTGCCACACACCATCAGACCACAAAGCACTACAGAAATACATTACTATGACTACTATGAGTGGTTGTCTCACTTGAAATTTTTTATGCATTTGTTTTAGGTTGCAGCCCACAGCATGAAGAAATGTGCAGACAGCCAGCGTTCCAGTGGCTCACATTAACAAATGAAAGTGTTTCTGGTTGCAGCCATGACCCCAGACAGGACAGACCACCCAGACAAAGAAGGTCAGGCTGCCTGGGACACCTCTGCAACCTCTTTGCTGCTGTTCTTCCTCCTCTCTTTGTCTTCCTCTGCCCCTAGATGCCACTCTTACCCCTTCCTGACCCTGCTGCTACCACACAAACCCCATAGGAGTATCCAGGTAATAACTTCTTCTGACACCACATCCATTTTCTTTCAACCTGTACTACGGACACCCAACCCTTCAGGACTTGATCATACCAGCAGTCATGCACTGTCATGTTTATAGGTGTGAGGTGATGGCACAACTGATAGCAAATATGCTTTGCAACTGTCCAAAGGAGAATGACCATAAACCAAAACCAAATAAATACACAAAGTCCAGAGCATCATCCCTCACAAAGTACACACATAGGCTATATACGAGTTGTAATGTGATAAAAACAAGCCCTGGGGGAGCAAAAAAGAGCATCTTAACATTAAAAACAGTAAAATGTATGTGGTCTAAACACCAGGGCAGGAAGGATTAACAAAGAAAAATAAGTCACTTGAACAAACAAATTAATTCTGATAAGGTGGCAATTTTTGGAAGCAAAAATGAGTGGTAGAAGTGTTTAAATTGAAAAGTTAAAAAAGTCTTTTACTTCTTTTTCATTTTGTTACATCAAAAGCCAGAGAAAAAGCATTGGTTACAACACTGATTCATTTGCACATATATATACATTTCTAACATCAGCATTATATAGCTTTGAACCTGCTAATCACTCCTTAGTTCAAAAGAATACTGAGGCTGACCCATGGCCACCAGCATAATCAGAAACAGATAAAATGCAGATCTGAATACAGTACTAAACCACTTAGAGCAGTTTCCCACCACAGCTCACAGAGGTTTTCTCTGGTCAGAGTCTGACCTTAAGTTGAGTTAAGTTAACTTAAGTTCACCACTACTTAGGGAGAAAAAAAAAAAAAAAAAGCAGAACAATGTTAATTCATTTCCTCCCCACTTACAAAGAACTTGACTTTATGACTTTGCTCCTGAAGTTGTCATAACTTCTTAAGAATCTCATCAAGCTCATAACCACTTGCAATGACAATATGCAGATCACTCTCATGTTGCTATAAACTTTCCCTTCACACATAGAATAACTTGGGCTGGAAGGGGCCACACTGATGCCAACCATCTGCTAAAGCACGGCCTCAGTGCTGGGTCAGGTCACCCAAGCCTTGTCCAGTCACAATGGAGTGGCCTCCGGGGCCAGAAACTGCCCAGCCGCCCTCCCGCGGAGCGCATTCCTCACACCCACGCGGAACTCTTCCTGCTGCGATACGTGACTGCTGCCTCTCACCCTCTCCATACACCCTTGAGATAAACCACTGTTTATTCAGCTGCTTGATTTTGGAGGCTCTGCCCTCTGGTCTCTGGTGGCCCACATGTGACTGGCATGTCCCATGGGTTTCTCTATGGCAACACAGATAACCAGGAAGGTGCATACAACTTCTGGAAAAACCTACAAGTTACTTGCAAACCAAACACCTGTTTTCTTTAATTTCAGGAGAGTGTCAGTGTGTACAGCGGACTGCTCCCTGCCAACACACCTCTCCATCCCCACAGAGCTCAGCTGGCATGGAAATGGTGCTGGGAACAGCAGCAGAATGACAGAGAGAGCGGGAGCCCCAGCCAGCAGCAAGGGGACCACAAGGCACCTAGGGCACCTGCTCAGGCATGCATGGGGAATTACAGGATCATAGAATCATCAAGGTTGTAAGAGACTTTTAAGATCCTCCAGTCCAACTGTCCACCCAGTGCTACCACTGTAACCCATAAACCACTAAACCGCATCACCCAGTGCCAGATGCAGACTCCTCTTGAACACCTCCAGGGATGACTCCACCACCTCCCTGGGAAACCTATTCCACTGCCTGACCACCCTAGCGGGGAAAAAATTTGTTCTAGTATATAATGTGAACCTCCTCCATCTCAGTTTAATGGGACGGACTTCCTTTTGTCCTCTCCACTGCAGGTGTGGAAGAAAAGATGGGCCCCACCTCACTGCAACCTCCTCTCAGGTGGTCGTAGAGAGCAATGAGGTCCCCCCTGCACCCCCTCTTCTCAAGACTAAACCAACCCAGCTTCCTCAGCTGTTCCTCATAAGACAAGTTTTCTAGATCTTTCACGAGCCTTCTTGCCCTTCTTGGGACCCATTCCAACACCTCAAACTCCTTTCTGAGGTGATGGGCCCAAAACTAAATGTAGTGCTTGAGGTACAGCCTCACCAACGCTGAACACAGGGAGATGATCACTTCCCTAGTCCTGCTGGCTATGTTATTCTTGATACAGATACAGGGAAGAGCTTGGGAGGAGTCTCTGGGGTGGGAGCAGCTGCCTTGCACCTGATCAGTCCCATGCAGCCCTTTGCTGGAGCAAGCCAGTGGTGAGGCAAGGTAAGGCAGGGCAAAGGAAGCAGGTCAGGGAAGGTGGTGAGGTAGTGTAGAACCACACATAAAGCAAGGCAGTGCTGAGGCAGCAGCCCCAGCCTCCTCCCTGCCTCCTGCCCTGCTGCAGGCAGAGCCCAAGGCCTTGAGGAGACAGGCTCTGCCTATTCCATAGGGTTTCTAGAGAACAGTATACATTAAATCAGTCCTGCAGAGAGACCTTGATAAACTACAGAGCTGGGCAATCACCAACTGTAGGAACTTAAACAAGGGAAAGTGTCAGGTTCTGCACCTGGGATGGGGCAGCCTTGGATCCATGGACAGACTGGGGAATGAGATGCTGGAAAACAGCACTGGGAAAGGGACCTGGGAGTCCTTGTCAATGGCAAGTTGGATATGAGTCAGCAGTGCCCTGGCAGCCAGGAGAGCCGACCATGTCCTGAGGGGCATCAGTCACAGCATCGCCAGCTGGCTGAGGGAGGCTCTGCTCTGCACTGGCGTGGCCTCACCTTGGATATGGTGTGCAGTTTTGGGTGCCACAATACAAGAAAGATATTAAGTCATTGGAGAGTGTCCAAAGGAGAGCGACAAAGATGATGAAGAGTCTTGAGGGGAAGCCGTATGAGGAGCGGCTGAGGGCACTTGGTGTGTTCAGCCAACAGAAGACTGAGGGGAGACCTCACTGCAGTTACAACTTCCTTGTGAGGGGAAGAGGAGGGCTGGCACTGAGCTCTTCTCAGTGATAGGACCGGAGGGAATGGCCTGCAGTTGTGCCGGGGAGGCTTATGTTGGATATTAGAAAAAAGTTCTTCCCCAGAGGATGTTTGGGCACTGAATGGGCTTCCCAGGGTAGTGGTCACAGCACCAAAGCTGACAGAGCTCAAGAAGCGTTTGGATGATCCTCTCAGGCGCACGGTGTGACTCGTGGGGATGCTCCTATGCAGGGCCAGGAGCTGCACTCGATGGTCCTTGCGAGTCCCTTCCAGCTCAGCATATTCTGTGACTCTGTGGAACCACGGGAGCCCCTGGTCACACAGCGCCAGCCCTTCTCGCCAGGGGTCCCGGTAGGTGAAGGCGCTGCCACGCTCATCATGGCGGCACAGGGGGACCACCCACCCGACATGGCGGCCGGGGCGGGACGCGCTGCCCCGACCCCGCGGCGCCGCCCGACCGGCCCGCTGACCCCCCCAGCCACCGACCCCCCTGCGGAGCGGCCCCGGGAGCCGCGGCCGCGCTCGCCCGGCGCGATGCGGTGACCGAGCGGCTCCCCCGCCATCCATAGGAAGATGTCGCCCGGCCGCCCCGGAAGCGCTCGGGGAGGCGCCAACATGGCGTGGCGGTGCTGGGCCCGCGCCGCGTCCCCGCGGCCGCACAGGTACGGCCGGGACGGGGCGGGGAGGGAGGGAGGCAAGGCAAGGCAAGGGAAGGGAAGGGAAGGGAAGGGAGCGGCTGGGGCGGGCGGTGCTGACGGTCCGCGTGTTTCCCCCGCAGGCTCGCGGTGCTGCTGCTGCAGCCGCGGCGGGGGTTCCGCCGGGCGCGGCCGCGGCCCGAGGAGCTCCCGGCGGCCGCGGCCGAGGCGCCGCCCGCCCCGCCGCCCCCGCGCCGCAGCCTCTGCCCGCCGTCTCCCGCCACCGCCGCCGGCCGCCCCTCGCCGCGCCGCCTGGTCAAGCCGCTCCTCTTCGCCGTCGGGGTAAGTGGCTCCTGCAGGGAGCGGGGTCGGCAGGGAGCGTCTTCCGCCCTTCTCAGTGGAATTCTGCCTCCTTGGATTTCCTTTCTCAGTACTTCAAAGTTGGTTGGCCAAATACTGTGCCGTTACACTGAGGTAATACGAAGGAACTTAAGATAAATCAGTGGAAATATTGTAAAGATGTCCCAGTTTCATTCCATTTCAGTGAACTTAAATAATATAATTTACGCATTTTGTTTGTGAACCTCTTTGATAAAGTGTCATCTTGTGACACTTAGCATTCGGTAAACCTGAGGAAATGGCCTCAGGTTGCACCAAGAGAGATTTAGATTAGATAGTAAGAACATTTTTCACAGAAAGGGTTGTAAAGCACTGGAACATGCTGCCCTGGGCAGCGGTTGAGTCACCATCCCTGGTTCAAAAAACGTGGATGTGGCACTTGAGGACATGGTTTAGTGGTAAACATGGTGTTGGTGGTGCTGGCTTGACGGTTGGACTTACGATCCTAAAGGTCTTTTCCAGCCTTAGAGTTTCTATGATCCCTGCCCATCAGTGG